TAATTCTTGTTTTAAGGTAAACTTTAGTGGTTTATTTCACAAAAGGATGTACTTATTTATTTTACTTATTATTCTATTTCTTTGAGTTCCAAGTGGAACGTAGGGCTTCAAGCTTAAACTTTCAAGTTTCAGTAGTGCCGGTGTTTATTTTTACCGGGTTGAGTTGTTAACCTCACTTCCAGCCTTCCCTCTTTACCAGTTTTACTACAGGTTGAGTGAAGTTAATGTGTGCATCGGCTGGGAACCGAACTTCAAACTATTTGCGTTGAATGGTGAGTATTCTACCAAACGTATATGTGTCTACTTATTTCAACTAATATTTTTGATCTCTTTCATTTATTTTGACAACTGAAATGGACTGCATTCTTTTTCTTTTGTCAAAACTTAATAATATTTTAAGGTATTCTTCATTTTTCGTTCTTTGAAACCTTTGATAGACCCTCGAACATTTCAGATGTGTTTCTCCCACAGAATTTCTCATTATTCACCAAAGTGATTCTGGTAAATCTGTTCGGCACATTTTGGTTGTGTTCTTGACAATTATATATATTCAAGTGTTGGTTTGTAGGGATTTGATTGGTTACAGGATTTTCATCATGAGCTGACATTAGTTAGAGAACCATTGGAAAACCTGGGAGTACTGGACAGCTGTTTCGTCCTAGTTTGAAACTCTTCGGCGGTACGCACACACCGGGATTCGAACCCAGTAGGGTGCAACAGGTCGGGTGTGAGGACAAATACTCGCCGAAGACATTGCCTAGGGGTCGCGCTTTGTCGTGAATTGGCAGAAGTTAGAATTGATGGGCCATTGGATCGGGTCCCAGTGGCTTAATGGTCTACGAGCTCGCCCTGTAACCAGAAGGTCCTGGGTTCGAATCCCGGTGGGTGCGTACCGCCGAAGAGTTTCAAACTAGGACGAAACAGCTGTCCAGTACTCCCAGGTTTTCCAATGGTTCTCTAACTAATGTCAGCTCATGATGAAAATCCTGTAATTATATATATCTTTTGAGGAGATTACTGAGTGACACCAAGCGGAAGGCCTTCAACTGTAGTCCGAATGGGAAACGATTAGTTGGGCGTATGTCTAAGGGCGACATGGAGGAGATTGTGTGAACAGTTGATGTGAACGTATGGGCAATCATGGGGCCAGTTAAAGACGACTGTAGAAAACACGATGAATTGGAAATGTGATACTGTGGCCTTATGTTCAACTCGAAATCTAAGGAAATAATGATGATGAAAATAATATGTATGCGTATGTAGGCAGTCATCTAAATATTGACAGTACTGTTGTAAAGTATAAGCATAGTTTAGGATGAAATCATGAGATTTTAATTTACATAAGATATTGTTTGTTTTATTTTTGGTTATTTTTTTTTACCGGGGAAATAAACCCGACGAAGTGAAAAACGCGCGCGCGCGCACGCTTAAAATAAACAATACCATTTAGTCTGTTGAACTGATACCACTTGTCTTATATTGTGTATTTAATGAATTTATTTACCACTTAATTCCTTCATTACATTCCAGTTTGGTGTTATTATATTTCTTCCTTTTCTTCGTAGTCTTCTTATTCTTCTTCTTCTATTGATTGGCGTTGTATGTATTAAGTTTCCACTGTGTGTACTAGAATATTATTTTTCTTCTGTTTGTTTGTATGTGAGTATGTGTGTGGGGGGAGTATCATAACAAAACACAATTAAAATTTTGCTCTTTCAAAATGATGAATAAACATTTAAACATCAATACATTCTGAAATTGACTGAACATTATTATTAATATTATTATTAGTGGTGGTAGTAGTACTATTATTTGTTTTAACACAATAGAAAGTATACATCCTCCTATAGTCATTGAAATTGATCATTTATGGAGCTCAGGGTAGTTTTTTTTTATTAAAAATTATTTCTTTTTATTAATTCAGTTTTACCATGTATTTTAAATTGAACGTCTGTTTTTTGATTATGAATAAACCGTCTATAGCGGTTAAATACTCTTTTAGATTATGATTTAACAGCTACGATATATATATATATATATATTATCTAATGCCTGTAAAAAGCATCGCTGTATTAGTCTGTTTTTCTTTCAGCTAGCAGACATCATTAATTCACACGAAAACAAATTACGTTTGCATTACATGTAGAATAAATCTTCAGAGAACAAGTATGAGCAGGATAATGAATAGAAAAGGAATTGATTCTACAAAAAAACGAAGTTATAAATATAAATATTCAACAACATCTATTTTAATAAAGCTTATTATAAACTCATTTTTCAAAATAATTTAGTTACATCTGTCTGAGAGAGTACCACTGCTCAAAAGTTAAACCAACACTTCCTTATTATTTTAAGCATCCTAGTCAGTCTTAGTAGTTAAAGTATGAAAGCATGTTATCTGTTTAGTACTTATATGTTTCATGTATCTAAAATGTAACACACACGCACAAACACACACACACTTAGGCTCTGCTGTTTCAATTGTTAAGCCATGATGACTGGCAAAAAATATACGCCCACCATCAATAAACATGAATTAGAAATTGTATTACATAATGTAGTTAGTTAGTAATTTATATCAATATTGTAAACAAGAGCACAGCTAATAATAACTAACAACTAGTGTTAGATTGTTGGTTGGTAAACAGTCAGATCAAAACATTTCACTAACGAAGAACAACATAACACAACACAACACAATGCTCAACAAATAATTCAAGATATAGAATACTTACGCAAAACATTTGTTATTTTCAGAAAGATAAGGAAAACTCACCACTTAAAATTCTTCTTTCACTAATGAGATGTTCGCACATAAAGCGCTGTAGACTTTTGCTATTAAAAATAAACTAATTATACAATAACCAAAAAAATAATAATAATGTTATTTCGTAATGACTGAGACAATAAGAAAGTGCCCCAGGTAATAAGATACATCAGTAAAGATTAACCAAAGGAATTGTGCTGGACTTGAAAAGTTTTTTTATCGATAAGGATACCTTAAGGTCGATATACACTGTTTTAGGCTTAGTTTGATTCAACTACAAATTTACTGAAAAGTGTAATTCGTCTCTTTTCAGCGAAAACAGACGGAAATAATTCATCGTTCAATTAAAAATTTCAATTTTTAAGAGTTAAAAGTCAATCTGAACGAAGAATATTCTTTTCAATAATTTCTCTTCAGGTTCTTACAATTATAAAATATAATATTTGTTGTCATTACAATAAAGGCCAGTTATACGGAAGATACATTTTTAACGTAGAATAACACACCCCATAACTAATCTGTTATTCTACGTTAAAAATGTATCTTCCGCATAACTGGCCTTTATTGTAATGACAACAAATATTATATTTTATAATTGTAAGAACCTGAAGAGAAATTATTGAAAAGAATATTCTTCGTTCAGATTGACTTTTAATTCATAATATGGGAATTTTCCACACTATCAAATTTTAAGAGTTAGTTTGTAGGGATTTTTATTGGTTTAAAGTCTGGTCACGGAATGATGACAGTTAAAGAACTACTGAAAACTAAGGTGTACTGGACAACTATTCCATCCTAGTTTGAGACTCATCAGCACTATTTACCCACTGTAATTCGAATCCAACACCTTCCGGTTACAAAACAAACTCGTAAACCATCCAGTCGCTTGATCCCATGAATTCTAACCTCTGTTAATTCGTGACTTTAGCGTAACCGCTAGGTGAAAGCAAATCTAATCCTCACTAGCTGGCTCTTAAAAATTAATTTAAAAGACACTGGTGACTAAATACAGGACGAAGTTGCCTAAAATTCTGGTGAGAAGTCGTGACCACCGGTTCGAGTGTGAGGACGGCTGGCGGTTGCGCTAAAATCGCAATTTAACAAAAATTAGAGTTCACGGAACACTGGATTCTGACTCAAGTGGCTAAACTGTCAACGAAGTTGGTGTCGTAACTTAAAGGTCCTGATTTGGATCCCTGATGGGGTTATGGCTAAGTATTTCTGAAGAGTCCCAAACTAGAACGAAACTGCTGTGAATTGCTCCTTGGTTTTCAGTGGATCTCTAACTGGCATCAATACGTTTAGGTGAGGAAGTATATCCACGAGTAAACAAGATACTATTATACAATAATGTTAGTATATTATCCTTCAATTCTCGATGTACTCGTTCTATTTGACAGTAATTAAGACAAATCGGGACAACAATTAGATCGTCCAAAATAAGAATTATATTTCAGAATTGGTAGTGTTAAGGAGGAATAAGTGCTTAAATAACTAAAAATCATGTACGAACAACCGAACGTAACACGACAGTCTACCAAATGGTGAGTATGTTTCACTGTCTACTTCAGCTTACACAAGTCGATTTAAACAGTAAGGGTCAAAACCCCGTGTTTAGTGGTGTAAGCTATAGGGTAACAACATTTTTTTTGGGGGGGGGTGTGTGTGATCATTCACCACTACAAAAGTAAAAATCCATTGCAGGATAAACTTTTCGTTATGAGTAAAATTCATAGTAAGCTTTTTTCTCTTATTTACAATTCTTAATTTTGTGATAAGCATCTACTCTCAGGAAATCATATAATAGGCAATAACTTTTTATAATTTCAAAGAAAAATGAAATTAAAAACATGATCAATGTGATGAAAGATAAAAAGATAATTTTTATCCAACTTTTTATTTTAATAGGATCGTCAATTTCTTTTTCCACTATTAAAGTAAAACAACTCAACCCTCTTTCTTTTTCTATTCAAACAAACACATTACAAAGAATATCATCAATGCTTGAAAATTCAAATCCATAAGACAGTTGACATTATCAACAGTTTATCGAATATGTTTATAAATAAATTTGTTACATAACATAAATAGGAATACTCTATCAAGACATTTTCATTGGAATGCATTTACAATAGCGAATCAACTTGTTGTATTGAAACAGTACAACATTGAATAGCTTTTTTTCTGTCTTTATTTTCAATGAAATATAGCTAAAAAATATAACTCAACATTATTAATAGTCCTTTTTATTCAAACTGTCGTCATATTTTGAGGTATAGGCGTTAACTGATGTTTGGGATATATGATTATGTAGTGAATATTCACTATGATGATTACGGAGTAGACTGTGATTTGACTTTCTGCTATCATTCATCATTTGCTTTCTGTTAAAATTATTACAGTTATCACTATTAACACTGCTGTCAGTGCTCATATGATTGATATTATTATTATTGGTAGTAGTAGTAGTATGAATGCTGTTAGTATTACTGTGATTACATTTGCTGAAGTAATTATTTCTAAATGGAATTTCATAGACATTTGGTACAACTGTTGTAACATTGTTTTCAAAAAATGAAAATAATGGAAACCATATTTTAGTACGCTCATTGCCTGGTTGATGAAGAATATTACTGTTAGCAAGACAATGATAATATAAAAATAATCTTGATGATAGATATATAGCAATGAAAACATCAATAGAATAGTGTTCATGACAGGCAAGAATAAAAAATACACCGAAAAGATTTAGTACCCAGGAGAAAGTATGCAGAAGATGAAGTTTTCTAGGTGTGTATTCAGTAATGAAGAAGTTGAGAAGAGTTAAACAGGTTGTATGCCCACTAAAAAGATAATCTCCACATGTTTGTATACCAGTGATATATAATCCAAGACCTTTCCATATTTCTAATACACGCTTGAAGCGTTGTGTATGATTTTTAACAACATAGGGACTGCATTGATCTGTCAAATGAGATCCAGGAACACTCAGTGAAGTTATTATCATAGTGACTGACCTAAGTAAGAATATTGTTCCCATAAGTACGAAGAATCGACGGATTAGTATCCATCGATATTTGTGTAAGATGAGGATGATTGACCATATCACGAATAGTACAATACCGACCAGTTCTGCAGCAATGAATCCCCAGCCGATATGAGGTAAATTATCCAGGAATAAGTCAGGAAGTGGAGGATATTTAGATGTAACAGGTAAGCGTTCATGTGCTAGAACTATAACAAATGCTGTGACACATGTTGAGAAAATGAAATACAAAAAGCTAATGAATAATTTCCAGGAATTCGAATTATCTTCATCTATTCCATACTCAGAATCATTTAGTAATGAACTTTCCACTGCACAGTCTGTATTGTTATTATTATTATTATTAGATTGGCACTTGATCTACATACTTGTAATTCACTTGACAATCTGTTGTCATTAAAACATAGAAAGTCAACTAAAGAATTTTGACTAAATATTCTTGGCAAAGCATATCCTCCGTAACGTTGTTTTTCAACTTGATGACGCCAAAGTGAGCAAAGAAATAATATTCGTTTTCGTATGCCAATCTGACTGATATTCATTTCTTGTAAGTCCTTCTCAGTTAAAAGGCACAATGATAATCCATCGATAGTGTTTTTTGTGAAAATATCAACCACCTGATCAGGAATTCCATGATTTTGTAAATATTTAGCTATATCCACGGAATTAGCCTGAACTGATATTGTCTCGTCATTTGAACAGTCGAACATCTGTAACGGTTTAAAAAACACAACCAAGAGAATTAGTAAATCAATTAAGTAAATTATTCCAAGTAAAAAATAATTTGTAATAAAGTTTGAGACTAGAAGGAAGAATATAAATCTTATTGCTGATGAGCTATTTTTATACAAAATTCAGTACTGTAACGATACACTTAATTGCTACTCTACTTTATTGGAGCTCTGGTACATGGAGGAAATTTTCCAAAGGAGGTGGAACAATTTGTAACCACTGTGTAGAAAATAGACGAGGTCAAGGCTGGTTATCAGTCTCACAACTAAATTATTTGTACAGCAAACAACAGTGAAGTAAGTAGGTGTTCACTGTTATAGAAATATGATGTTTAATCATAAATCTGGTTATTGGAGTAAACAGACACAAAATTTAAGAATTTAATAGATTTTGAGTGAAGGACTTAGAAAAACAAATGCGTGAGGACTAAAAACGTATACACGGTAGATGTGAAAACACAGTCTTTAGCACATACTGACATCTAATGGAAATTAGTCAATACTTTATACGATAACAATTCAACTAATACTTTTTGTGATTCAACACAAAATATTTTACCTAGCATCAAATTATCGCGATATGAGTTCAAGCTAAACATCACATTTATAATAGAGAATGGTCTTCTGCAAATTTCAACAAAACGTTTTTGAAAGTTTTCAACATGGAATACTTTGAACGTCAAATAATATGGCTTCAAACACATGACCCTCATATAAGTCAACCAATCACTCCTACATCTTATTAGCTCCATTTCATGTGGGTAAAAATCATTCGAGAAAAGGTTTCACTGGGAATACAAAACAGTGTCAAGTCAACGGACAGAAGTTATTTACTTTGATAGGAATGCATATAAACAGGTCCATACTTGTATCAACTAAGTGTCTGAAGTACAGGTTTTGGAATTTGCATTTTTAGTTCAAGAATGCAGACTTCTCCTTGAATGGATGAAAACTAGCCCCCAGCCAAACAGAAACGACTTGATTTTGTATTCAGTTTAATAGTACTTCCAAAGTATCATTGGAAATATTTTGATTTTATACATAAAACATTATTCAACTAGGATTGTTCAGCTCATTGCACAATGGTGTGTATTTGGTTGAGTCAAATAACTGATATTTAAAAGATTCACTCCGTAGAATCTGTACAGATTATTTACAAAATATATGCTACTGTTAGCGTATGATAATCTTCATCCTTCGGTTTTTACTTATATTTATTACCATGATTTATTGAAAAGAATTCGGATATTTGAGCTTGAAGGATTTCACACAACATTTTATTTTCTAGACTTTAATTAGTGAAACAAAACTCTGTGCTCCATCCATGCTGCTTTCGTGCAGATGTGGCTAATAAAAGGTGATTATAAGGCTAATATCGACATCATTTTACCGAATCCATTAAACTTTTAGTAGCATTCAAAATATGCAGCTCTTAGATTATGTGGTTAGACTGCAACATAAGATCTAGACGTTAAATAATTTTACCACATTGACCAAAGAAGCTTCTTAGAGCAACTCTTAGTTATTGCAATAAAGACGAATTAAAGAAGGACAGACTTAGTTACTAACACTCGGCTTTCATACAAAAGAGGTTGATTTTGTAAACAAAATAAACAGATATTTAATGGAAATAGATAGATGCTAGTAGTGTGTTGGTAATTTTATGCAATCAAACATTACTTTGAATCCATTTGTATTTGACTTGTATCTCAAAATGTTTAATGAATAATCGCATTTGTATTTTATCAGGTTTAAAATTTTGGGGTAGTCTTCAGTAACTTAAAAACTTTGACATGAAGACCTTCAGTAGTAGATATAGGCTTCAAAATCACTTGAACAACACGTAGTAACCTCAGCAGCATCACCACTGATTTGTTCACCAGCCTCCCACTCCCTAGATATACATAGATATTGTCAGAGGGATAACGAGGTCAGAACTAATATAATGCGTTCAGCCTGACAACCGTTGTCTAGAAACTGACTCATGTGTATTAGAATTCTAAGGAATAACCAATGTACAACGTGTCAACCAGATAGCGTTAAGTATCTCACACCTTCCTTATGATAAGAGTGTGGAGCATTTAAATCTCTTCCCGTTATCATACTGAAGGAGGAGAGGTGACTTAATTTTGGCATACTGTATATGAAAGGGTGACTTAGCAAGTGACTTTTCCAACCTTTTCTATCCATTTAGGATACATTTACGAGGTCACTACAAGAACGTGCTCGAACCGAGGATGACTGACATACGTGCGGAATTTAGATTTTCTCAAGAGTGGTAAACGACTGTAACTCCCTACCTGATTCACTAGTAACGGCTCCATCGGTGAATGCTTTCAAAGAGAAACTAGATCTTTGTAGAGATATATATCGCAAGGATCAACATAGACAACAAGAGCTTACTATCCTTTTCATCTAAATCTGAATCTACTTCCGTATAACCAAAGGCCCACGGCTGCATTGATATTCTTCTTCGGCCAGTGGCCTTCACTGATTCGGTGGGCTCATTATTACCCAAGTTATTCAGCCAGACACCTGTATTTTTCACACAGTCGGGTTACTTTTAATTGTTCGCACACGATTACTGTTAGTGTAGCGACAACATACATCGAAGCATACATCCCGTTATGAATGACGCACTGTTGTCCTTGTTTTTACATCGCAGATTTTTAAATATGAATTTTTTAGTAGAGTTGCGTTAGTGCTACGTTTATCATTTAATGATCCCATAAGAGCGATATCCTGTGACGGGGAACTCAACATGAAATTTTGCTGCTATGGGGTCACAGAAGAGGTCGAATTTTAATGTACGAAATAACTACATACCCAGCTAATTTTTTTCTTATTCTTACAATGGAGCTAGAGGTATACATCGTACGCTGTTTCAGATTAGTAGATTAAAAAAGAGTAAGATAATAATGTCGAACTGTCTTTAGGACTAGACGATTAACCATTGGGCTAATTTCAAGAATGAAATGCATTCGAGTGGTCAGCTGATCCAAGCTTACAACAATTCAAAACTTATTCTAACCTATTCTTCGATGGTGCCTTTTTATCGTAATGTTCTGAAATAACGCAGGCCGTGTCTAAAAAGAGAGTTGGGTGCTGAATTAAGTCTTTTGGTTCTGAAGTAACGCTAGTCCCTGCTTAGTATGTCCTGTGAGGGCTGGAACAACTCTGATAAGCAAACCCAGTAGGTTCTGATCTACTCCTAAAAATGCCTAGAAAGAAGAACACGGTGCTGAATTATTGCCATTCATGCTGAAAACCAGCATTGAGTTCTAGTCTTTGCCGTTAAAGAATCCATTTCAGAACATATTCAGAATTTACTCACTACAGAATGATAGAATTATTTCAAAATTAGTGAGATTTAGTTCAGCATTATAGTAAGCCTGGGAAAATATAAGCAAGTAATTTTCACAGTGAAAGAGTAACACAGTTTTTAATAGCGAGGAGGAATAATTGAACATTACACCAGGATCAGAGATATGTGAAAATTATCAAAGATTATAGCAAATCTTCGAAATATTATCTGAAGTCATATTAGCTAATTATACTCATGTAGTTAAATTACGTACAATTAAAGAATTAAATTTAAGTTATCTGTTACTGATACACAAACTTGCATCAGAAATCAACTCAAATGATACATGCAGTGTGATGTTGACATATGAGGACTCACGAAATTAGGTACCGAAGTAGAGTTTCGGCTTCAAATAACCGCAAAACGATACAATGTTTAATATCGCTTTTACGAGCTGGCGTAAACCAAATTAATTTTCTTGTTCTCGACCTTTGGTTGCGAGGTAGAGTTTCCTGGTCTTTGGCAAACTTTCACGTAGTTTGTGCTACCACTCAAGTGCTATAGCTCTGGTTGATCGCAAAAGAAGTGGTGCTGAGATTGATCAAATGTGATTTGTGGTATGCAGTGTATTGAGACTTCGCCGCTACTGTTTGTAGAGTTGATACTTTCAACCGTTAGTCACCCAGTGTGACTGAAGAGTGAGGTAATAATGATAGGTATAATTAGTGTAGATTATAATGACTTGAAAAATTGCAGGAAACCGATAGCCAGTGAAATTTGAAATATGTGTATATGTATTTACACATATATTTCAGTGGCAATAATATAAGGGAATTAACAGATGGAGTAGTCAGAACAGTAGGATAAGGAAGGATGTGAAGTAGTAAAAAGATAAGTTTGGGTGTATTCCCATTAATATTGTCTCGATATTAAGGGGATAGACTGTTTGGACACATTGTCCCTGTGTCGCTGTATGATTGTCTAGTCTCCGCTTAAGGCCTTCCACGGACGGTAGAATAGCCATATCCGCCAGCATAGAGTTCCACGGGCGCAAATCGGAGGTGAATGGAAATGCTCGCGTACTCGAATCTTTGCCCTCATGTGTGCTATCCTTTGAGAATTGTCTCGAGGATGTCCATACGTATTTAGTTGGAGAATACCTTTGTTTTGGTGACTGTGATCATTTGTAATTTTATAGGCAGCAAATAAGTCGATTCTAAGCCGAAATTAGCTAAGTGTGAAAGGACTTAATTTCTTCAGCTGCTAATCGAAAGTTTTATTTCTGAGACTCACCACCGGTTTTTCGCCCTTCTTTAGAATATTTTCAAAGCTTTAACTTAATTGTAACACTTTTCTAATAAAAATCTTTACAGCGTTGATTGGAAGTAACCATTGATTTCACCGACCTAAGACACCATGAGGATCTATTTTTGGCATGAGAATTCCCCAGCTATCCTTCAGCTGTAATCCACATGGAGAAGGAGGAAATTCGTTCATGTACAGGCTGTGTCATCTTGTGGCACGTCGCTGCAAGCTGTTGTCCAGGAAGGGAATTCCCTGTCTTTTGCTTGTGAGGAATTATTTGAATCGGCTGAATTGGTTGCACTTGATTTCAAAACCTGTTAGCTTAATGAGCAGTCTTGGGTAGGCCTCTTTCTCGAGAGCCTTGCTGAAG